TGTCAGAGTTTGAATTTATTACCAATCCTGTAGGCCATTTTCCTTTCATTTTGACGGTAATGCCGTTCTGAGCCTCTGCCAGACTTTGAGGGCAGAGTCATTGGCGAGTTGACCCCCTGCTTTGCACCCTTCATTTTTCTCACTTTGCAGGTTTTGACTGAGCTAATGCTTTCAGGAAAAAAGGCTTATTGATTAGAGTGAAGTCGCTTGCAGCATCTGGGCTTTTATTGGTGCAGTTTGTGAGGTGTTGTTAGCTGTCTGGTAGTGCAGGTAGTGCTTGTTCTCACACATTTAGTAAATTCTTGCTGGCTTCTCTGCCCCCCTTGCTTAGACCTTTCTCACTTTATCCACTCACCTTCTCACCTGCCCAGAGCACTCCTGTTAGGACTGAAGCATGTAGCAAGATCACCTAAGCTGGTCTGAAGAGATCCTCCTCCACTACGTTTTAATTTGCACATTGTCTTTCATTCTGCAAGACAAAAATGGCCATCAACTCTCATCTTCATGTGATCTTTGCTTTTACCTAGATTTTATAGCTGAAAACAGCCATGTATCCTATTAGGATGAGCTAGAGCAAGCATTTTTTTGAAGTTTTTCTTTCAACAATAGCAAAGATATCCCACTATGAGGAGTCAAGTCAGAATCAGAGGTTGTGATAAGCACGTGTCTGATCACATCGATCAAAGGAAGACTACATCAGAGTAGTCATAATTCATAATTCATTATAGTCATATTTTGTATATTCAAGCATGTGGTGATGTTTTATATTGTTTCTTTGTTGTGTTCTCCAGTGTAGTTGAAATATGTTGAATAAAGATGGTTATAATAGTCCTAAAAAGCTAAGTGAAGACTGAGATGAGGCTTTCTTGAGTTTGCCTTATTACCTTCAGAGCTGTGCTAGCAAAAAGAGGTTCAGGATCTGTGTCTAACCAGTGTTGTCACCTGATTGTCTCTCACTCTCATGGCTCCCCAGCTACTCTTCCCACAGCCCTTTACTCCTCACAGCATGGTCTGTGGGGCAGGGTACCTGCGTGTCCCCTATGACACTTTGTCTATCACATCAAGAGGCTGTGCATGCTCCTAACCATGCCACTGGAGCTGCTTTTCTGCAAATTGCAAGGAATCCATTACCATCCTGGCTTTGCCACTCATCGAGCACCTTGAGAAGACACTGAGCAAGGGTTATTCAGCACAGCACAGAGATTTTGATGTCTATGTTTTAAAACCTCTAAACCACTGATCCAGCTCCTAATACAGCATGAGTGTGGGAAGCTGTGTGGGTAAAGTCCTAGCATGATTTTTTGGGGTGGTAGCTACAACCATTTTGTAAGTCTGTACCTACAGAAGACTTGATTCAAAGAGATTGAATGTAAAGAGAAATTAGAGGTGGCTACAGTGGCAGTGGGCATTTTTGGGGCTTTTAGTTTTCTCCTGATGTTACAGGAAATAAGCACAGGGTCAAACCAATCTACTGATGATACTTTCAATCTGTCTTTTTTTTCTGCTAGTGAGACAGAGTAAAATGCCTCAGAAATGGTGTCTTTCTTGTGAGACCTGCAAACAATACAGACATTCTTGAAATCACAGCTATCTAATCAGAGCACTGTGAGAATGCCAGAGAAGGACCAAATTATTAAAACAGGAGCTGTTGTGGTTACCACAGTCCATTGACTCTGTAAATTGTGTGTAGTGCCTCTACAGCTGAGAATTTCTATTGCTTAGGAGATTGACATAGTCTCTGAAGTGACTTTCAGGTAATGTTAGTGACCTTCTAACCCTTGTTAGCACATTTCTTTGCAGTCTCAAAGTTGATAATCTAGCTATTAAAATAGGAATTTGCAACTTAAAATTTCTCTGTTGTGTGAATAGTTAAGTGGTGGGCTTCAGTGATTAGCCTCCCTGGAGCCCTACTATGTTCCTGCAGCTTCCTTGGTGTTAAAACCTCAATAGTTGCTAATATGAAGACTACCTAACATGCATGAGAAGAAGACTCATTCTCTGTTTTAGAAGAGGAATCCAGAAAGGAGATTATTTTTTGCTAACAAGTTTTTCCAGTTGGGTTAGAAAAGCAGTGCAAATCAGCAAGTGCAGTGAAGGGAAAAAAAGAAAAAAAGAGTCACCTTAGAAAATAAGCATCTACTAGTCCTCAAGCTAGAAAGCAGCAGGAAATATTGGGAAAATAATTCATTGTAAGATGTCTGATTTATCAAAGCAGTTATCTGCACAGCATGGAGAAAACAAGCCCTGTGTGTGTCAGTTCTGGGTGTGGGTGCATATGCCAGTGGGTATGTTTGTGTAGGGGGAGAAAACACACCTATAAGAAATGTAAAGAATAATTTTATCTGTATTTCTGGCAAGAGAAAAAGCATAAACAGGAGATAAACAGCTGTCCTTTTTAGTAAGGACTGCTGCACATTTGCACATTTAATGACAACGTGCACATTGACTGTGGAAAGCTGGTCACAGGGCTTCTTCAGAGAAATATGAAGGAGTGACCTATTATTTTCAAACAGAAATTCAGAACTGCAATGTGCTGCAGAGTGGATGATCTTCTCCAAATCAGTTACTGCTTTTCAACATGCTTAGTCTTTCAAATGCCTTTTTTAATGGTTTAAGGAGCTATTTCACTTACTCTGTGATGTAGAGCCGTGTGAGGTCCCCAGCCAAGCAACACGTGCTGGGCAGTGATGAATAGAAACTTTGCAGGGAGGAAGAGAGCAGGGCATATGTTTTAAATTAAAAGGAAATGCAAGGGAAGTGGTTTGCAGAATAACAAAATAAATTCAAGCTCCATTCCATAAGGTATATGTTCTCACCCTCCTGAACTGGAGCAATTGTCATGTTTCTGATAGGTGAGGAATGCTTGGCTATTGTAAGAAGTCGGCTGCCCATAGGTGCCATAGTCACTTGTTACATGTCCTGCCTAATATCTTAGCCACTGGAAATTCCCTGCCACCATTGGCTGTCAGAGTTATCTCCTCAGTAAAAGAGATTTCTATATTTAAAATGTAAATGAAACATTGCAGGCCTGGATGCAGCTGCAGGGAGGTGGGGAGGATTTCATATGAGCCTCCTGATGCTGTGGGGCCAGAATCACACGGGCAGCACATGGAGATGCTAATGGTGTGAGGATGTGGCACCTGGACTCCCTGTCCACCTTTGTACATTGGCTTTTATAGTATGTGAGCCTACAGAGTTTCTCAGTCATTTAAAAAAACAGAAAAACCACAGCTCCAACCTTCCCTGTGAAGCCTGGCAACACAGTAGAACAAAAATCCAGAGTGTTTTTTTCTGGTTTCCCCTTTGTTTTTTCATACACGAATTTAATGGATATAAGGGTGAGCAAATTTATACAAATGGAGCAAAACTACCTTTTTTTTTCCCCTTTTGGGATAATCATATAATCAGAATGCTTTTTATAGGTGAATTATTTTCAATTTAATATAGTCTAAAATCAAGCATGACTGATAGAAAATTAATGCAGCATAGTCCATACCTAAAAATACCAATACTTCCTTTGACTATATTAAGGCTCAGGAAAAAAAGCATTTTAGATAAGATCTACCTGTGGTATTTCTGTGATTTCTATCACTGTAGTATCTAAGCTTATCACAATATTTTAATATGCTTGTTTCCACATTCTCTGTTGGGAGGAAATTATATTATTCCTGTTATCACATAGTGGGAAGCATAGCAGAGGTTATATAACTTGTCCAGGATAGGGAAGTTTGTTGAAAAACAGGCATTGCTCTTCTAGGTGCAAAAGCCCTTTCTCCTCAAACAGCTTTGAGAAAGGATGAGCATCCCAGGCTTTTTTGAGCAAATAACAAAAGCAGCTTTTTCAAAGTCGGAGCCCTCTGCCACAGAAGCTCTGGTAACAACCTGGATGCACATCAGGCAGATGCTTTGTCCAGTGGATGTCACTGGGGCTACCAACACACTCCAGTTTGTCCACCAGCTTTGGTGGGTTGCAGCCAGGTATGCAGGAGCCTGCACCATGCTGCTGACTCCAAATGCACGAGAGAAGACACTGCAGAGGCTGTTGGTGCAGATAACAGCATCAGTCTGAGCAGAACTGATTGATGCCTAAAGTCTGTGTTGGTTTAATAACTCTGCAGCTGGCAGGGTATCTCTAGGTACAGTCTTGCTGGAGTGCGGCATCTTTCAAAAGATACCAAGGGGTGTTTATACACTTCAGTAGAAACATAGATTATGTTTCTTTTGGATCTTTTAACAAACCTTCTTGGTGCCTACCTTAGTGGTCTCTTTCTGTCTTTCAGTACTCAGCCATCAGTATTTATTCCAGTCCTCTTACACCCATATTTTGATTTTCCCTTTAGTCCCTTCTTGTTTTTGGCTTACGGGCTAGGTACAAACCTTACCTTACACAATTGCAGACATCAGCATTGACTTTCCCCTGGTTTCAAATTTAACCTGTGCTGGAGATTGTCCTCTCCTCTGGACAGCACTAAATCTTCCCTGCCAGGGATAACTAGTCCTTGGGGCTCATAGCTGTGCTTCTGCAGAGAAAAATGTTTTGCCTTTGGAGTGGACTAGATTGCACCACACGGCAGGTAATTTCAAAGCATTTTCCAGGAAAGCATCCCCTTGGGGCCATCTCAAGGCCTTCGTGGGTAAAGGACACGAGGCAGCATGTGATGCTATCAATGCCCCTCCGTTTTCCCAAGGAACAAAGCAGCAAGGCTCAGTGGGGACATGACCTTCCTGGGCTGCACTTGAAGGGGTCATTGATTGAGGGGAGAGGGAAAAGGAAGGGTTTTTCTCTGGTTTTCCTTTTAACTGTGTAATTGGGGGGATTTATCACAGGCCAGCATGGAAATCTGTGTTGTTGGCCTGCTCAGGAACACTTTTGGCCAGCCATCAGCTTTGTGAGCAGCACATTAAGCTGATGCAGTGAATAGATTTTTCTAGAGAGGGAGAAGTGCTTTGCTACAGTGCTGTCTTTACTAATGTATATTCTTCTGCTTTCCATCAAACAGTCAATGAAGGCTCAGGTGAAACCAATCAAAAAGAGACATCGACCTGTGACATTTGCCAGTTTGGGGCAGAGTGTGATGAAGATGCAGAGGATGTTTGGTACAGTAATTTGCTCTACTCTTCTATTTTAATGAATGTTGTATTATTTAAAGGTACTGCGGTTTGGAAAGTGTTACAAATGTTAGATACTCTGTTTTCTGCACACAGAGATTCATCGCAAAGTGACTGAGGTGGTTATTACTCTGAAAAAATGTATAAAACACCCTGGTTTATAATTTTGGAACATGCACGATTTAGACCAAGTTTAGAAACAGTTATCCATTTTGTTGCCATTATAACTTATGTTATTCCATCTGGGGTTTTACAGCTTCATACTTCAGTAAAAAATAGAATTGGGAAAAATAATTGACCTAAAGCTTTTCCAGTTAAAAAGTATCATTAGTATTATCATCATGTTAATTCATGTGTGGCATTAGAAAGGCTGGGAAATCTGTCTCGCTTTTTCCTATTTTGCTGGAGTTGAAAACCTTGCCCTCAATTGCTTGAAAAAAATGAGAGTGTACATTTCGACATTTTCTCAATGGAAATGGTTTTAATTTTTATTTTTGAAAAGGGGTTTCAAAATTATTCAGATTTTTTTTATTTTAAACCCTAATTACAAAAGCTGAAGGGAAAATAATTCTATCAGACTTTTATTTTTCATTTTGCCTAGGATATATGCAAACTTACATTAAACCAGCTCTGAGCTAATAATTTCTTTGTGATTTTGGAACAGCCAATAGATCAAAAAGGTCACTATTCACAGAGCTATATTTCTAACATGCCCTAATGCCACGCCTCATGTTTCTCTCTAAGTAACTAAAACAGATTTAGAGAGACAACAAAATAACCATGGTTATATGGATGGTCCTTCTGGAGCTGTGGGCTAGTGGTAGCTAAAGAATGGAGACACAAACTGGGCAGTGAGGTGTCAGTAAAACACTGAGGCCAGAGCTCCAGTGTGGGGAACCAGAATGGAGCAGAGGGGAGTCAATAAATGAATGGTGAATGTGATAGCTGGGCCCAGTGTTGGGCATCCGTGCACCCTTGGTCAGGCATGAAATGAGTTACTGTTCTGCTGTTGAGTGAAGGAGCTCAGGAATATGGTCTGGGTTATCCATTTGTGCTCTTTTTGGTTTGGTCTTGCCACCTTCTCAGTAATCTCTGGTTCTAGTCCTTAAAAAAGCCCACTGAGTCCTTTCTCAGACTTCAGTCATCAAAGGAAATTGTGGTGTTGAAAAACAGGCTTCTTAGTAATCTCTGGTTCTATCAAGCAAAAAAAACCACTGAGTCCTTGCTCAGACTTCAGTCATCAAAGGAAATTGTGGTGTTGAAAAACAGGAAAAAGGTGCATCATGGTTATAGGTTTCAGTAATGTAATGAAATTTGTGAGTAAGAAATTGCCTAATGTTGACTTTGCTTAAGAAAATTACCCCAGGTGTTATGATTTTCATTGTCTCCTTGACTGGTTGTCCTTGAGAGCTTTGGTGGTGCAGTGTAGAAACAAAACCACGGTGAAATTAATATATCAAAATTCACAGTCTAGTGCTCATGTTTTCATAATTAAGTGCGCTTCCAAATTGGAAGGCAGGAGAAGAGAGGGGCAAGGAATAAAATTAGCTACAAGATAACATTATTAATCATAAGCACTGAGTAGCAGTGTTTATTTTTTTTCCAGAAATAGCTTGGTAAAACTGCCTGATCCAACTTACCCCAGTGTTCCCACTGCAGCTTTTGCACAATCTAATTCCTCCCCTTTGAAACAAGTTGGTTTTTACAGAGCAGCAGAATGATGGCAGGAGCTGAGGTGCTCAGTCTTTATTGACAGGCACTCTTTCTGCAGGGGAAGGGGCTTCTGGGGGCAGGAAGCAGGGAAGGGCTGGCACTGGGAAGATGCTCCCAGACAAACTCTTGGGAGGCAGGAAAGCCAATTCCTATCCAAAAACCCAAACCCCATGTAAAGCCTGTGAAATGTCTGCTTTGAAGTAAGCAACTTCATATGCCATAACAGAGCTCTATTTTCCTGTCCTTGCCCCCTGATTAGTCTTGGATAAGCATCTTCCTCAACAATGAGCCTTCTGACTGTCAGCTTTTCATTCTTTTTATTTCTAGACTAAAAGTGGACTATGTATGGAATCCCTGTTTCCAATATAGTTGGAAATTTCATTTCATCTGGTTGAATTTTCACGTTTGGCCCATGTCACCAGAGGCACATGTTGCCCCACTCCCCTTGCCAAGAAATGTCAATTTATTATTTGTTCACTATTTTTATGTGGCTCAAGTATCAGATGTAAGCGGGGCTCCTTTAGCGCTCTCACCTGATTGATGAGGTTTGTAAAATCCAGCAGTTCCGGGTGGTCCTGGGACCTGCTGTGCAGGATGTCCATCCCAGCACCAGCAGTGAATTCCTCTCAGTCAGGAGCAGTCTGAGGGTGCAGGGTCAGTGCCTGATCTGCTCCAGGTGAGAGGAATGCAGGCTGGTAGCAGAGCCAGACTTCAGAGAGCTGGAGATGCAAGGCTGGCTGTTTGCCTACTATTTCTAGGGTGCCAGAGTAGATCAGAAAGGAGAGCACAGGTGTGATAGCAGATGTGGTTGGGCTGCTGATGATTTAAAGTGACAATTGACATTCTTCTGCATTGTCACAGTCTATATTTTGCAGACTGTTATCTCCAGTTTAACTCTTTTCTTTTTTTTTTTTTTGGTTATTCATTGCCAGTTGTCACTCATCTAAATTGTGCTATTGTACTCTGTCACCATTATTTTTTATTCTTTTTATTTGCGTAAAACCAATCTGTTAATGGCTAGACTCCTGGGATTCTAATGGGGGGGTTGGCACAGAGAAGATTACTTGAAGGGGTAAGATCTGTGTGAACATTCTCTGGAAAATACAGAGGAAAGGCAGGAAAGAAACCCCTGTAATAACAGGTTTTCCATGGCATGCAGAAGCACACATGTGTTATTATCCCATTCTGCAGTCAAGTATCATGAGAGTGAATGCAATTTGGCATTCCATTAGTGAATCTCTTTCTCTTAAGTTAAAAACAAAGACTGTTCACTTGAAAGTCTTTAACATCTTGCTGCTTTAATATGTGAAAGCTTCTTGTCACTAAGAGGATCGTGTATTACTGGCATTATTCCCACCTTTAATGCATTTTGCACCAGTGGGCTTCATGAATATTTAAAGCAGGGCAGTGGCTACGCTCTTTAGCACAGGGTTGCAATCTATTGGTAAATCAGACATTTGGTGTTGCTTGCTTTGGGTTTTATTTCTGAGCTGGCTAAGGAATAATTGATTTTGTAAGACAGGGCTACTCAACATAACACCCCGAGAGATATACTTAAAAGGAATTGAAGAATGAGGCGTAACGTTTTGAACCGTGGTGTATTGCTCAGCTCTTCCAAAAAGCATCTATGAAACACTCACTGTACATAAATAGTGCTCACCAAATGGAGTGCCTGCTCTCTGCTGGAGTGGCTTAGTGCAGAAACCTGGGTTCCAGCATTAATCTCCTCCATATGGGCCACTGAGGATATAAGAGCACTCCCTAGACTGCACAAGCCATGGGTTGGATAAATGCTGGGCAGCTGTTTCAGAGGTCCACCAATATGTCCAGAGTGGAAGGAGATAAATAGTAAGAAAGATCCTTTGGTTGAGTTTCCAGTTAGAAAATGCTGGCAATAAAGATTTTCTTAAAACAAGATTAAAGCCTGCAAGCCTCTGACTTGCAGAGTTAATCAAAATCACAGTGATGAATTGCGGTTAAATATGCATATTTTCCCTTTGCATTCCAACACCAGCAGTCAGCCTGCAGCAGTGCCCACAGTAAGATGCAGGTTGCTAGCTGGAAGGCAGACACACAACGGCGTGCTCAGAGAGCGCTTCCCCTACAGCCTGGCAGTGTCCAGGGAGGTGAGGAAGCCTCCTCCAGAGTGCTCCTCTGCCTGCCCCTTCCTCCCTCTGGAGGCTGCAGGTGGAGGAGAGAGGCAGCAGTGCCCTGGCAGCAGGTGCCTAACCCTGGAATGTGCCACTGTAGGGTTTGTACCAGTGATAAAAACATGCCTAAATGCCCCTGGTGCTTCCTGCAACTTGGTCCCACTCACCCCAAGGACTTCACCTTGGTTGGGAGTGGAGAATCATGCTCTGCAATAGGCACTGTGCTCGTGGTAGGAAACTTCCTTCCCTCCTCACAAGCCTGGCCCACAATGGAGGAGCCTTTTCCATTCCTTGCAAGTGGACAAGGATCCCACTGGGCACCTTCAGCTCAGGAGAAGATGCTGAAGCCATTCTTGAGGGTCACTGATGACCCCAAGCTGGGACTTGGAGGGAGGCATCCATGCCTGGAGGAAGGAGCAGGGCTTGTTCAGAGTGTGGGTCAGTGGGGAAGGAGGGACGGCTGGTCCCAGGCGTGCTGTGCCCCTGGGTGGCATTCCAGGGTGGCATTCCCAGGTGAGTCAGTGACACTGCAGCATAATTACAGCAGGTCTCTGTCCACATGGCTGGGACAATAAACTCCACTCACCCACAGCAGGCAGGCACATACACAAAAGGTATTACAAAGATGAACTCCTTCAATCCCTCGTTTCATATTTTACTGCTAATCACTGGTACATTTAGTTTGGGTAAATGCTCCTGTAAGGCAAACAAACAGAAGCACGTGAGGAGGGTGAAACCACATTCTCATGCAAATAAGTGGCTCTGTACATGGAAGATATCTGTGCAAATCATGCAGCTGCCATCTGCAGCGACCCCTGCAATCGATACTGCCCCAGCAATCAATATTTATCTTTATTATAGTGTAGAAAGAAAACATAAAAGAAACTAATGATTTTGCCAGCTTCTCCATCCACGCAGCAATTAGGTCAGTCAGCTTTGGGTCCCTTCCCCCTTCCATCAGTTGCTCTCAAGCAGAGCATTTGCAAACAAGATGCTGTACTGCTATAAAGTACTAAAAGGTGGTTTGAAGTCTCACATACATTACACGGGTATTGGCTGCTTCATGTTCAGCAGCGTGTATAATAACTATGTGTGACCTACTTGTTCCAGATGCAGAAACAACGA